TCTCCTTAATACAGGCTATTTCTCAGTATAGCAAGGCGAAGAGAACGTCACCCTCACTAGTATTTTTGTAATGTATCTCATGTAAGATTATTTTTTATATGTACTACAAGTTAAAGTTTTTAATAAATTATTATTATAGTTGTAGCACGACCGGGAAACGACCACGCTGTCACAAATATCAGCATAATGCTGCTGTGTTTCGTGTGATAAGTGTAGAGATCCAGTAATCCTTTGTACTCGAAACGGCGCATTGTTTAGTAGTCTTCAGGCATGAGAATACATCTACATTTTTATTCTTAATTGAGGATTAATGTTGATGTTTATGGGCTTAACAGTGCTTTCAAGAGTCTCTAGTATGATCAAAGTGCTTAGATTTGGTACGAAATTACGGTATGTAAAATATTATTCTAACTATAATGCGATTTTTTATTTAAAATCCATTCCATTATCAATCCTTGCAACACACAAGCTGTACCTTATAGCATTGAGAGATTTTTTATAGAGTAAGGGTGAAAAAAGAGTACACAGTCTACCTGATGGTAAATGGACATCTGCAGCCAACTTCGAACAAAAAAACAAAAAAGCGTTGTGACCTCTGAGGATTAAGATGGAATATCTTACAGCCTGTAACAGCACTGGATCCCTGTAACCTTTAAACTGGAACACATCTGCCATCGCACAATGATGGACTTCTAGGCAATAGAAGTCCTACCATCTGGTAATATTATATTTATTATTATTTAACTTCAAATACCTGAAATTGTTTGATGATTTCGATCTGCGGCACAAAATTCTCTAGTCGTTTTCGTTTACAGTCACCACACATGACTTGCATAATTTACACCTCTGCATAGAGAAGTACTTCATTGTTGTCGACGTAGTGCGCGTATGACGTCACTACACTGCAAATACCGAGCGTTGTTTTTTGAATTTTTAACGAATTTCGCCTTTGTACAAAATATTGGTCTTCCCCATAGCCACGGCCACGGCAATAAATAAACCTTAATGAATGGCAAAGTTGCCACACTCATTATGCATTTTAACAATATATATACAACATAAAACATTAGAGGTCTAAATTTTTAGTCTAATTCTCGATCCGCTTTTTTTTATCTTTACTCCATTTCTAATACCGTTTCATTTGGAATCTCAAATACAAATGGTTCAATAATATAACAACAAAATATGAAGGCTAATCTATTTCATCGTAAAAAATGCAAAGTGGTACAAAAAAAAACAGTTACTTTAATAATAAGTACTAACCGATAGCGGTCGGAAACTATATTTTTTCTTCTTTTCGAACACAAAGGTAGTTTAAATTAAAATATGAAGTGTTTATTTACGTATATTTCATTGGAAATCAAACAATCATTTTGTTTTCAAAACACTATTTCTTAATACATAAAACATTTTTAACGCACATATTTTCTTATGAGTAAAACGGTTCAGTAAGTAAAGTATCTTTACAACAAAGTTCACAAAGAGTATTTAAATTGGGAGCTCCTAAGCAACTTATATCTATGATAGTATTATTTTCATCACAAATATCTTGCACCCATTTAAGTTTTTCACATCCTTTAAAAAAATCTTTTGATCTTTCAAATATGTCTTTATAATTCTGTGAAACTCTCTATAATCAACAAAGCCCTCACTCCATATTCTACCTTCTGTGCTTTTCAATCCACCCAATTTGTTTTTTCTCTTCAAGAGATAGTGAAGTGAATGGGTAAGGCGTTTTAATTAGGAATATATTGGTATACTCTAAAGTGGCTATAGCAAACTCCTTTACTATAAATTCATTTTTGATATTTTTGAATCCTTGAAAATCGTCGATTATTGTATTGCTATTCATGATATTTTCTTAACGATATTACTCAATGGTTTTTATTCGAATATACAGTCGTTTAATATCAAGCAATAAGCGGTTGTATGATCTGGTATTTTTTGGTCTGTTTCGATTTCAACTCTCACGTCGATTGAAACTTTTAAACTTTTCTAATCAATTACAAAACTCAAACCCACAATTTCTAATACCCGCATACTAAAACTTCCTGCAAACTAACATCAGCCCCTCATAAGGATAATATAATGAATTAAAAAAGGCTTTATCTCTTACATTGTCAAACTCCCAATATTCATTTCTATTCAAAGATAACCAAGTATGTTTACGTGTTTTGGGTAGCAATGGATACTCATATTCCCAGGAACGGAATGCCAATGGAATAGTTCTACCTTTCTCTAAATATTTTAATAGGCTGATTCTTTCACGATCTGATACTTTGATGTGTGGAATTCGCCAAACAATTTTATTTAATATAATATCTTCAACAACTTCTCCTGTATTTAACTTGATCGCATTAAGATTTGTATTGCTTCGCAGTAATACTAACTCATGTTTACAATTAATTATATTTTTTCATAATCTTCTGCTAATCCTAATATCTTGTTCAATGGTATAGACGCATAAAACGCTCCACCACTAGTAGTTGTAGTTGTTCCGCCAGTTGACCAGTCCCAAACTCGAGCACATTTGGATTCGTTTTCATTTAAAGATAGATAAGATTTTATTATAGTAGTGACACCAGCATTCTTAATTTTATCTATTTTTACTCCATTAAGTTCATATCATATGTCTTGAAAAAGAAATAGCACGGGATTATTGACAAAATGTACGTTTGATACCTTTTACTTTGTGGTGCTGTTTTAAACGTTCACCTTTCCCTCGATATATAAACTACTGAGTGAAGGTAGTACGTACAGGTCTTGCTGATTAATAGGATTAAGTATTTTGTCATTCTTGTTAAAACTAGTTACATATGGTTTGCGTGAATGATACTCAAAGCTTTCATTGCTGTTATCGTATGATGTTTGTTGATATACGTTTAAAATATTCATTTTATCAAGCTAACTAGCTTAAGAAATTCTTTGTTAGACTTGGTAAGCTTCTTTTTTAGCTAAAAAAAGTGTGCCTTTATGAGATATTCTTTTAAAACTGGCTTGGATACACGAAGTAGTCGGGCTTTAATGAAATTTATCATATTTTTTCGGAAATGTAAATACAGTTGTAATTCTTCACCTCGTAAATTTATCTCTTTATTCTCAGCATTCAATAACTTTATATTGATAGCACTTATGGAACTTTGGTTAACAGGAAAATAAATCAAGTTTCTAGGAATTTCAATTATTCGATAACCAGATGGTACATTAGGTGCAAATTCATAAATTATATGGCTTGCTTTCCCGTTGACAAAAAAAAGCCACTAACTACATCGCATTCAATACGCACGATGGTTGTCGATAGAATACTGACAGGATACTTTGGTTCAGTACTTATACTTGCTTTTATTGTTTCCATACCAAAGCCTAAAATTTTACCCAGTGATATGCTTCTATTAAAGTGCACATCTTCAGAGCGAAAATATTTGTTTTCAATGTATTATTGTTACATGTTAGTTTTAGTACAGTGTTCTTAATATTATTTTTTAGATAATCACAAATATCTTGAAGCTCGTAAGACCCTTCAGGAATTTTCGATCATTTCTTTTTCACCATAATAAAGTTTTTTTCATGTATATTGGGAATAGAATTGAAAGTTGAAAAATACAAAAGGCCACGTTCGTAGTCTCCTCGTAGTTCTATTGTCGATGAATAGTTCGTTGATAAAGGGGCTCCTGTCCTAGTTATAGACAAAGTGAAAGACATTTTTATATTGATACGTTTATTTATTTCATACACAATATAAATGCTTTATCTTACAGCATGTACACTACTGTAATACAATACTGCAAGCACTGCTATCGCACAAAAGTGGACTTCATGGCAATAGAAGTCCTACCATCTGGTAATATTATATTTATGATTATCTAACTTCAAATACCTGAAATTGTTTAATAATTTCGATACGCGCCACCAAATTCTCTAGTCATTTGTTTACAGTCACCATACATGACTTTCATAATTCACACCTCTGCATACTGAAGTAGTTCATTTTTATCGAAGTAGTGCGCATGTGACGTCACTTCACTGCAAATACCGAGCGTTGTTTGTTGAATTATTAACGAATTTCGCCGTTGTACAAAATATAGGTCTTCCCCATAGCCCGCCTCATACGGCAATAAATAAATCTTAATGTATTTGGCAAAGTTGCCACACTTATTATGCGTGATAACAACGGCATATTTTTGTTTTTAAGTTTTTGGGAAGACGCTGCAGCCTACTTCCTAGTTTTTGCCCTCTGTTGCCTCTAACAACAATCACGGGACGACATAGGATAGTAGATTATACACAAGGTTTCCGATAACGCATTCATATTTTAAAAAGCTACTAGCATACCATTTGTCCATTAAATTTTTAATGTTATAATTACGTTGTTAATTACATTTTTGTATGCACAATGAGTAAGCATGACCTGGTAAAAACCACGCTCTCGTAGAATTCTATCATCAGATGGCAGCATAATGCCGCTCTAATTTTTTAGGATTCATGTTTTTAAAACACCTAAGCCTTTTTACTGGTAGCGCGGTATCTTAGTCTTCGCGGTTGTCAAGACATCCGACATTTGAATCTTAATTGGTAATCTATCATAACAATTAGTCTATTAGAGATTTACCCCCAATATTAATTGGTGGTTAAGTTGTAAGATACATTATCTCTTACAACTTAACCACCAATTAATATTGGAGCTGAAAGACATGTTGTATTATTTATTAAGACAAAATGTACAACACTTTACTTATAATAAATGTTTTAAATTTGAAATACATATACAGTAGAGCATCGATTATCCGAACTAATTGGGGGACATAGGTGTTCGGAAAACCAGTTTATTTGGACAATCGAACTGTATAACATTATGTACCAATATACCAAGAAAACATATTTATATGTAATACAAATTTCTTTTATTACAATTTTAAGTAAGAATATAAATAAATTCAGATAGCTTTGTAAGCAAAAAAATATTGTATAATCGGTATTGAACATACGGTATGCCTATATAATTAACGTTTAAAGAAGTCCCTAACTTTGGTCTCTTGAAGCAAACCTACCCTCTGACGCGCAGCTAAGTCACGCACTTTTTTCAGGACAGTTATCTGATACTGGTAGCTTTCATCTTGAGCTTTAAACCATCGGAAAGCAGTATCTAAGCATGTAAACGCTTCAAAAGCAATAGGAATATTTTCGACTTTATTTTTTGAACCACTAATTGACGAGGTGCTGGCGGCATCAGCTTTGTCATTCACGACATTGAGGTCGACAATTTCGCTACAATCATCCATGTACGTAAATAACCATTTTTAAATTAATTTCTGTCAGTTTGTTGGTCCGAGCTGATCTTAAAAAAGGCTAAACTGATGAAACTACAGAAACAGATAGAGAGAAAACATAGGAATGATCTGAAACATTTGAAGATTTTTTGTATTAATTAATCCAAAAGTTGATAAAATAAATAAGTCTTTTATATTTCTGAGATCCTACCCTGGCGAAGCGGCAGCGCGGCGCTAGAACTTTTATATTTTTATCTAAGATAGATAACATTTAATATTACTTAGGTGTCTGTCATTCGGGAGATTACTGTGTGCGTGTGTTAATACTCTTATAATTCCCTTCGCGTCTCTTGAGATTACATAAGCCTTAATTAGTATGTTATTCATGATGAAAGTTATTAATCCATTCTGCGTAATTTTGATCCCTGTTACTTTTATTAGTATGGAATTTATTTATTTTGTACTCATTATAAGTAAATTCTGGACTATTATCTAAGCTTGAGTCTTATCTAACAAGCTTATCTCTCTTGCTTGATTTTGACTTTGTTTTAGTATCATTTACATGTCTAACCTGTATCGGCGTAGAAATAGTACAATTATTAGTTCGTGTATCTTTACACAGTCATTGTAATCAGGAAATATATATATATATATAATTATAATATATATAAATATAATTTCTCTATATTGCTCGCCTAGTGCTCAAACTTCATGTAGTGATTGGGATTCAATATTTTCGTTTTCTAATAAAAAGACTCTAATACTTGGAGATTTTAATAGACAACACCCTAATTGGTCGAATAAACCTGTGTTTAGGTAGTAACCACCTAATAATTAAGATTTCATCATCTATGAATCATTCTCCTATTATTCGTAAAAGACGAAACTTTAAAAAAAGCTTACTGTGTGAAGTATCGTCAAGTAATAGAAGAGGAGTGCGCTCATTTTGAAATTTCAAGTAACCCACAAGAAGCCTATGATGATTTTATCACTTTGTTGTTCAAAGCCGCAGAAGCAAGTATTCCATTTGTTAAAATATTCCTAAATCCCAAGACTAATTTTATTCCTAAGCCATATTGGACTCCTGATCTGTCTCACGCTGTTGCAGAGAGACAGATAGCACTTAAAACATTTAGACAGAATCCCACACCGGCTAATTTAAATAGATTGCAGGAAAAACTCGCAAGGCTCAAAAACGAATAAGAAACGCTAAAAGTAAAGGATCGTGGGAATTTTGTTCGTCCTTTAATGAAATATCTTCAGCTTCTGAAATGTGGAGAAAAATGCAGTGGTTAAAAGGTTATAGATCAACTAAACCATAAATTGAAAAAAATATTGCTGAGTTATTATTGTGTAACTTAACCCCTGACTATGTAAGTCAACCCTACCCATGTTAAACATCTCAAAATCCTAAATTAGAAACCGAAATATCTAGATCGGAGCTCTATAAATGTTTAAAATCTAAAGACACGTGCCCGGGCGCAGATGATATCTCTTATTCAATGTTACTTAATTTACCTATAGTGTGCCAAAACGTTTTACTCAATCTTTATAATATATTTTTTACACAATGCTGCTCCATACCAATGGCGACATGTTCGCATTATATCTATACCTAAGTCGGGTAGGAAAACTAGTTGTACTTCATCTCTTAGACTTATTTCTTTTATTTCGTGCTTATGTAAAGTATTTCATGCCATTATCAATAACCGTATAGAGTGGTATATTGAAAACAAAAAACTACTTTCTGAGGAAACTAAAGGATTCAGAAAATCACGTTCCTGTCACGATAATTTAACTGATTTAGTTACAAGCATTCAAATAGGATTTACCAAAAATCTTTTTACAGTAGCATGCTGTTTAGACCTAGAAAACGCATATAATAATGTAGACATAAATTATCTTTTATCGACCCTCGATCGTCTTACGCAGCAATACCTCGAACGATTTTTAGTAATTGAAGGGATAGATTATAAAATAACTAGAAGTACAGGTCGCGGTCTAGCACAAGGAGATCCACTTTCTTCGCTATTATTTAACATAGCTACAATAGATCGTATGTAGTTGACCAGTATGCTGATGATTATTTCATATTTATAACTTCTAAAAACTTGAAAGAGGCGGAAAATCAACTTCAATTGGCATTAGACATTTTAAATGATTTATTTTTAAATATAAATTTGGATATCTCACCGTTAAAAAGTAGAATATGCACCTATTCAAGAGGGCGTCGACAACATAACATTAGTCTTAAAATTAAAGATGTTGCTTTGGAAGTAGTAGATAGCGTAAAATACCTTGTAATGTGGCTGAATAGATCACTGCGGTGGAATAAACATATAAAGGAAACATCTGAAAGAAAATTTAAAGTTTTATCAGGTTCGGGCTCGGGTGTCCACCCTAAACATTTACGGAACCTCTATATTAGTATTATAAGAAGTCGGTTAGATTATGCGAGCTTTTTGTGTGATAACAGTAGTAAGACTAATTTATTTAAGTTAGAAAAGATTCAAAAGTAGTCAATGAGAACTATAGGAGGTTATATAAAAAGCACCCCTATTCACATAACGGAAAGCGATTTCAGCTTTTGCGCATTAGATTTAAGAAGACTTTACCTTGCAGGCAAATTCTGGTTAAAAAATAAATCCGTTTTAAATAACTCTTCCATTAAACTTATGTCTAACCTATCCGATACCATTCAAAACAGGTATTGGAATAAGAAAAAACCATTGTTAACAATAATCCATGACAACTTCAAATCACTTTTTATATACTCAAGCTCACAGTTAGATATGTTTTCTCTGGATCAGTGGATCACTAGTTTAAACCTTTCAGATTTTTAAGACCAAATATAGACGGAGTCCTAAACCCTAAACATCAGTACCATGTATTGACCATAAAAAACATGTGTATTAATTATCTAAACGAACATTACCCGAATTATCTGAGGATATTTACAGATGGTTCGAAAGATACTTTCGGAAACGGGGCTTCATTTTACGATATATTAAATGATATGGCAATAAAGTTAAAAATTAATACTAATATTTCTATTATGGAAGTTGAACTTGTAGCAATCTAGAAAGCTTTATCCTATATACAATCATGCAACTATACTATTTTAACAGATTCAAGGAGTGCGCTTCAACACCTTGCTCGGTGTACTTCGGTTTTTGAGGCTTACCAGTAGCATATGCGATTTTAAAGCTTCAAGTTAAGTTGCAGGCTGACTCCATAATAATATATTTACAATGGATACCTTCGAACTTTGGCTTAGAGGGTAATGAAAAAGCTGATATTTTAGCCAAACAAGCTATTTCGGAAGGCGCTGATATTAATATTATCCCTTCATTTGAAAATTATATACCGTTATTAAAAAAATTGTTATAACCTTTGGAAGGAATATTTTGATATAAGAGCAAAAGAGAAGGGTATATGGTACCGTACGATCCAGCCGTACCCAATGCGCTCAACCTGGATAGATAACCGAATATTGTGTAGACGCGACACTGTAATAGCATTAAGACTCAGATCTGGGCACATTCCATGCAATAAATTTTCATACTTGATGCGAAAAACTACCCCACCAAACTGTTCAACTTGCAACATTATCGATGATGTTTATCACATATTGATAGAATGTGTCCAGAACTCCAGAGAAAGAAAAAAATGTAATATACATTTGTCATTGATTGGCAGTATTAATAGTATTTTATCAGACCCGTTATCAGAAGATGCCAAAAAGCTTTATGTGTTAGTAAATAAGAGATTAAGTAATTAATAAGTTTATATAGTTGTTAGTATTTCATCCTATTTAAGAATTTTGTTGTACCAGGGCGTCATAATCGCTTCAGCGACAAAGCCCTTTTTCTAAGAATAAAAAAGATGTTACCCAATAATTCATGTATTTAGAAAAAAAATATATAATTAATTTAATCAATATACGTATAGTGTCACTTTTGTATCATTAAGCTTAACATAAAAATACGTAGTATAAATTCGTTACTTTTAACTGCCTCGATATGTCTCTCATTAGTTACACTTTTCTTTTAGGAGTTAACATAAAAATAAATGTGACGCACGTGGCAGCCAGAAGACGTTGTTAAGAAAATGTGTTCATTGGCGCACATGTAGAGGTAATGATGCCGATATGTTGTGAGGTCAGAATGTTTTATTCATAATATTTTGAGAGAATAGACCTCTCATAATTTAGGATCAGATATATGTTTGTTATTGTTGAAAATCATAATAAATAATTTATATCCCTAATTTATTTTGTATATTTTTATAGGCCGTCGCTACCCATGAACTCGCAACGCTAAAAGCACTTAAAAAGTTGTGTATTACCAGAGTGAAGAAATCCATTCACGGGGAGGCCATTTGAACTGCAGTAGACTTGTCACGGTCTATAGATTATAGTGATAATATTTTAACATTTTTATGAAAGACTTATTGTAACATGCAGCCCACTTCAACAGTGTGACAAATGCATTATCACTCGTAAGAACTAATTGTATGACATAATTCTCCATAATAAACTAGTTCCAAACATATTATACAAGTCAGATTTACCCCTGAAACGTAAGTAAGATATCGTGTGCATTAGAGCTCTAATCTGATGGGACGTTGCATCGTCATCTATATCAGTTAGTCTGTCATTTGTCTGAAGTCGGTTGCATAAGTCCATGAGTTGTAGCAGACAGTTGTTCCTAGATTATTGCCAGCTTTTAGCCGAGTTCAAAAAGGAGAAGGTTATTAATATAATATAGACTCTATAGGCTAGCTCGAAGAAGCAACAACTGATGTAGAAAAAAGGTTCGTAAGTGTGCCTCTCACTATATGAAGTGACGAGTAGTGAGAAGAGTAGGAATTCGATTCGAGGTTGCTCAGAACCGTGCTTTGTAGCATTTGGGGGAGGCCTATGTTCTGCATTGGTGATGGTGATCTATGTCTCAAGTGTTATCGTATTTATATACGAAGAAAATTTCATCCATAAGAGGATGACATTTTTA